ACACCCAGGAGTCCAGGCCTCCAGACTCCCCCATCCCTCAGACCCAGGGGTCCGGCCCCCCAGCCCTTCCTCCCTCAGACCCAGGGGTCTAGCTCCCAACGTCCTCTCCCCGGGACACTGATCCCTAGACCCCTGCCTCCTCCCACCCCAGGCCCTGGTGGTCGCCTGCCCCAGCTCCATGTTTAAACCCCTGCAGACCCTGGCCATCGAGGGCGGTGCTGAGGACCTGGGCCAGGAGGAGGTGGTCCAGCAGTGCATGCGGAACCAGCCGTGGCTGGAACAGCTCTTCGACTCCTTCAGTGACCTGCTGGCCCAAGCACAGGCCCACAGCCGCTGTGGGTGACCCCACCTCGGCCTGGGGGGCACACCTCCTCCATGAACCAAGAACTGGGACAGAACTGTGTCCTCAGGCGCTAACCCCCAGGCCCTGTTGCCAGGGAAGAGGGGGGGGTCACTGGTCAGGGTGTGTCTGTGCTGCCCCCACAGGGCAGGGTTCAGAGTTGGACTCCCCTCTCTCCCAAGCTCTCTCCACTCCCTCCCCATTCTTCCCACTGTCCGGTGTACAGAGAAATTATTTATATATATGTATAAATGTCTATTTAGTAACGGTTTCCCTCTCCCCCTTGCCCCCCTCCCCCTCCATGGCCATAGCCCTCACCCCCTCCACCTTGTACATAATGTATAGGAAAAATCTATGTATGGCTGAGGGGGGTGGGGCGGCTTTAGAGAGCTGGGGGACCCCTCACCCCCAAGCCCCCCCTTCCAGGCCAAGATCTTTGCTAAAGGCCATTCCCTCCCCAGGGCATCCGGTGTCCTGTGGGAGGGGGAAAACGCATCTTGTTAATTATTTTTAATCTTATTTATTGTACATACCTGGGGCGGGGGGCTAGGGAGGTGGAGGGGGGAGAAGGGTCCCCTCCTTTTGCCCCTCCCACTCCTTTTCTACTGCGATTTGTCTGTGTCTCACCCCAACACACACCACCCCCATCCCATTGTTGTCTGGATGTGGTTCTATTTTTTATCGGTCTCCCCTCTCCTCCTCCTCTCTCTAACCCCTCTGCTCCCACCTCCCCACCACCCGTTGTCTCTTGCTCTTTCTTGGGCTTCTGTACAACTCAACTTGTATACACTGTGTACACACAACCAGCCAAACGAAAACCCAACAGCAAACACTTTATCGTCCGGCTGGAGTGGCTCTGTCCTGCGGCATCTGGGTCGCCCTGGGGTGGCAGGGGCAGAGGGTCTGGAACTGGAATGTGGCTTTTCTGGAGCTCTGGCAGGTGGTTGGTCTGGGGACATTGTATCAGTTACGTCTCACTGCGTAACGTAGCCCACCCCAAAATTTAGTGACTTAAAGCAAGAAACATCATTGTACGGTTCCTGAGGATCAGGAATTTGGAAGTGGGTTAGCTGGATGGTACTGGCCTAGGGTCTGCCATGAGGGTGCTGTCAGGTCATCAGCCAGGGTGGCAGTCCTCAAGGATCTGACTGGAATTTAAGGACCTATTTTAATGTGGTTCATTTGCATGGCTCTTGGCTGGAGGCGTCAGTTCTTTGCCACATGGACCTTGCCCACAGGGCAGCTTGAGTGTCTTCACAACATGGCAGTTGGCTTCGCCCAGAGTGAATGATCCAAGGGAGAGAGCAAGGAGGTCATGAGATTTCCTTGTCATCTAACACCATTGTTTCTGCCACCTGTTTGTAGAGGAGAGCCAGCACACACTCAGGGAGAGGTGGTTAGCTCCACGTTGTGAAGGGGAAAGTGTGGGAGTTTTTGGATGTTTCTTGTTTTTAAAAATATTTATTTCAGAGAGGAAGGGAGAGAGAAAGATAGAAACATCAATGATGAGAGAGTCATTGATCAGCTGCCCCCTGCATGCCCCCAACTGGGGATCGAGCCTGCAACCCGGGCAAGTGCCCTGACCAGGGATCAAACCCGCCACCTTGGGTTACCAGGATGATGCTCTAACCAACTGAGCTACCCAGCCAGGGCTGGATGTATTTTTAAACCAGTTCAGGCAGTGACAGGTGTGAGGAGTTGACCAGCTTTCCTTGGCTCTCTAATTTAGGCTTGGGAAGGGTTTCTGTGTTCTTGAACCCTGAAACCACAAGATCACGAGTGGACTGGCATTTTGGAGGCCGGCACCAGAGGTGAGGATGGATTCTGTATTCTCGAGCCTCACTATGATCCAGGACTGCTAGAAATGTAGACTCAGGTTCTTTCTCAGATCTACTGAATCAGAACCCACTTTTTAGTAACTCCTGGGAGGATTCGAATGCACATCCAAGTTAAGATGGCAGTATTCTAGAACCCAGCCTGTAAGGCAGTGAGTAAGCCGATCTAGAGCCTGGACACTTGTCAGCAAAGATGAGCTATTGGTGTTTCAGAATCCTGGGGTCAGCATTGAGGATGGCTGGTCGGTGGGTAGAGACCCAGTGAGATTTCAGGGTAGATATCTGCATCTTAGTCTCCTTCCCGGGTGAAATTGAAGAAGAACCTCCATTGTTCTAGAATCTTGGGTGTTGTCTAGACCATCACCAATGTTGATTGCAGAGCCCTGATTTCACAGAATGGCTAGTAACATTTGAGATCCATAATGGGAGTGATGGACTGCAGACTTTCTAGGATCATCTTAATCCATTAAGAGCTTTGAGAATGTACTGTGAGTGTCCTTGAACCATGGCCTGTGGGATGTTGGGAGCAGAGCCTCAGAGGGAGTGGCACATTCAAGGTTCTGAATTGGATGGATGTCAAATCGGCTTTGAAAGTTTCCAGGATCAGCATTGTCCCAGGTCAAGAGTTCTGGGATAGAAAGGGGATGGAGCTGTCAGAAGGTGGACAGTGGGGTTAGAATAACCTTGTGGTCGGCCTTTGTAATTCAACTGCCCCAACTAAATCTCAGCTCTAGCACTAACTGGGCAAGTTGAAAAATAGCCTTCCGCCCTCAGCTTTGTCATCCGTAAAATGGACTTTTGTCAAGTTGAAGGAAACGTGTTTGAAGCACTCAGCACTGCTTGGCACCTAGCTCCTGCTAACCATAGCAGGAGACACCAAGAGGTTTGTCCCAGGTCCAAGAGATGGCAAGAAGGGTTGAGAGACAGGACAACAAAGATGGATAGAGAGGGACATCAGAACCTGGAGAGACTGACAGTCATTTACAGGGTCCGCCGGAGCCCAGGGGGTGGCAGGAACCAGAGACTCACGGGTGTACACACGTACCTAGGGAGATGCCAACTAGGTCATCCCAGCCTCCTTGCAGTTCTCTGATGAGTTTGGAATGGTGGTGGCCGCGAACCTTCCAAAAATGGCCCGCCAGTTGTGTGGGTTTTATGTGTGCCTTGTTCTGGGGGCAAATGGTAGCTTTCATCAGCTTCTCAAAGTGCATCTTGGTCCTTCAAGAAGCAGTGTTCTGGCCAAGAACTTGGCACTGTTAGGCAATGCAGACCTAACTAGGGGCATGCCTCACTGCTGGCTGGGACTTAGGTGGAGGTGTCAGCTCTTGTCTGGAAACTGCTAGAAACACACCCCCCCATCACCCCCCTCCCCGGTGCCCAGCAGAGGTGGGCCTCTGGTGAGCAGAGGTTCTGGGGGAGGGCGAGTGATCTTGTGGTACAATACATCTGAGCCACACTTATTCCCAGGGCGGAAGGTTGAACCCAGGCCAAGGATTCTGTGATAATGAAACCCGGAAAGGGATATTCAGCTAATCATTGTTCTCATCGGGAATACAGAGGGACATTCATGGTTCTGGGGCAGGAGAACACAGGGCCTCGGTCATTGAGACTGAGCACTTAGTATGTCCCAGGCACTGTGCTCGTCCCCTGTGTGCACACTGGCTCCTCAGGGCCTCTTACCCTGGGAAGTAGCTCTGTGGTCACCCACATTTTACAGTTGAAAGACAGGCACTGGATTGAGGTGGCAGAGCTGGATTTGAACTCAGGCAGCCCACTGCCAGGGCCCATGCAGGACCCTAATCTACCCTGGCTCTAGGAAGTGGCTTCTGGGTGGGTGTGAGGGGATCATTTTGGGGCCAAGAGTCTGTGACACTTAGATGTGGGTGTAGGGACAACAGATCATTGACTGGTTAATAGGGTGGTGGGCAATGTTCCAGGGCCTGGGGACATCTGGTTGAGGTTTCTGGCCTGGTGTGTTGAGTACGTGTTGGGGTTCACAGAAGCCTGTGAAGTGGGCTTGGGAGGTGGCTGAGTGGTCTCTCGTTCTGGCTCCAGCCTTCCAGCTTAGCAAATAGAGCACAGGTTTAGGGTTGTGGGTTGAATGTTGGGGAATCAAAGTTTTCCGCACTGAGGAGGAGTCTTGACAACTTATTTGTGACAGCGTCAAGATCCCCCACACTTCAGCCGCTCCCAGGAGAGAGGCTCAGATGGGGCGTGTCCACACTGGCCCGAAATTGGATTCAGGGTTTAGACTCAGACGTAAGCCCAATTAGAAACTTTCTGGAACTGAGAACTTGCCAGCTGGCTGCTCGGATGCCATTCTGTCTACCTGTCCCTTTCTCCTCCCGCCAAAAGCCCTTTCAAAATATACATTGGAGATGGGAGGTGGGTGGGCAGGGTTTGTAGCAGTTACCTGTCTCAAAGGCTGGAACCTTCTAGAACAACTGCCAGACCTTTCTACAGTGGGAATGTTGCATATTTGCCCCGTCCATTAGGATAGCCACCAGCCACATGTAACATGTAGCTTCTGGCTACCATATCGAACAATGTAGTTCTAGAATGTTCCAGAAAAAAATTTTTTTTTTCAAACATTAAACCTCCTCCTAAGAAATGCCCATTGAAACAGGAGAGGGTGGAATGGCCCTGTTGAAGGGTAAGTGGGGGGTCCAGACGCCTGGCTCACCTTGTTCTCTATGGCCCCTGCCCTCCACCAAGCAAAGGGTTCTACAGCCAGTGGTTCTGGGTGCGCCGAGGCTTTAATGTGTATACCCTGAGTTTCCCTACCTCCCCTCGCCCTTCGCCCTTCCACGAAAGCACTCCCTGACTTTGGCAGTGACGTTTATTTCTCTGGGGTAGGGTTATATACAGCAGTGACCCGGGTGGATGCCCGGGAGCCCCTCACCCCCACCAGGGGCTTGGGTGGGGAAAGGAGGCGTTGGCAGAAGGCACACAGTGGCAATGGCCCCAAGGCCAGGAATTGTGGGTGGGGGTGTAGTGTATCCTGGAGGCTCAGGTGGGGAAACAGGCTCGGCAGGGCAGTTAGTCCCTAGAGCTTGTGCTGGAGGCGCCTCTCACGCGGGCTACAGGAGGACACAGGGGCAGCCTCCGCCCTTCTTCCTGGGGGCGCTGGGAGGGCTGGGCGGGAGCTCTTGTTCCTGGTACTTCCTGTGGGAAGAGGCTGGTGAGTTTTGGCCCCGGGGGTTGGGGACAAGGATCACAGGAAGGGTGCTCCACTCACCGCACAGCCCGCACCAGCTGCTCGAAGGCCTCGTCCACGTTGAGACGCAGTTTGGCCGAGGCCTCGAAGTAGGCCACATGGTGGGAGGCACTGAATGTGTTGGCTTCAGATCGGAGCACCTGGGGGGACACGGGGGTGTCAGGTCCCTACACTCAGGGTGGGTGTCAGTGGGGAGGCAGAAGGACACACTGTGTGCTGGAAGGGGGGTACACATAGCGGGGCTCAAGTGGAAAGGGAAAGTTCCAGAGATCATGGGATAGGATGCCGAGGAGGCTCGGCTCCATCTGAGGAGTCAGGGGAGGCTGCACAGATGGTTGCCCTCCTGAGTGTTAAATAATAGGCAAAGAAACCAGGGTGTTCCCAGCAGAGGCCCAAACCAAGCAGCCAAAGTCGGAAATCCCCAGAGGCTTAATCTAAAAAATGTGTTCTGTATGCAACCCCATAGTCTGTGTGTGTGTAGAGGGAAGTGGAGGGAGCAGGGAAAGGAAGGGACGAGACCATGATGGGCATCCAGCACCAGGGAAGAGCTGGCTTTTTCCCTAGGGGCAATGGGGAGCCATGGAGGGTTGGGAGCAGGGGAGGGGCAGGGGCAGGGGCAGGGGCAGCAGGACCCACTAGGAGGTGGACTGGAAGAGGGAAGCAGGAGGCTGGTGCAAGGGTTCAGGTGGGAACTCATGAGGCAGGGATAGAGCAGAGTCAAGGCCCGCTGACCTGGGGGCGGGGAGGAGCCCTTTTCCCACCCAGCCACCTCTCCTGGGAGCTCAGAAGGCTAGACTTGGGGGCAGCACATCTGGTGAAGTGTGTGTGTTACACTAGGAGCGGGATCACCCAGCTAGAGGAGGATGCTGGTGCGGAGAGGTGGGAGGTGCCTCCCAGGCTGCGATGGAGCCCGGGGCCTGGACCTGGCGTTGTGCCTCCAGATCTGCCTTGTTCCCGACCAACACGATGGGGAAGTCATCTCGGTCCTTGACGCGAAGGATCTGCGTGAAGAGCTTGCCCACCTCATTGAAACTGCAGGTGAAGCGCAGAGGGGTGAGGTGCAGCCGCTCAGCACCGTCCCCCCTGCTCCGCCGCCTCCCGGCTCCTCTCACCTCTGCCGGTCGTTAATGGCAAACACCAGCAGGAAGCCATGCCCGGCGCGCATGTAGTGCTCCCGCATGGCGCCAAACTCCTCCTGGCCCGCAGTGTCCAGGACTACAGAGATGGGGAGAGGGCTACCATGTGGACAAGGCTCCCCCTAGCCATCCCCACGTGCCCTCGGCCCCGCCACCACCCCCCATCCACTCTGCCGCCCTCACTGTCCAGCCGGGCGGGGACGCCGTCCACAGTGCAGATCTTTGTGTAGGAGTCTTCGATGGTGGGGTCGTAGTCAGAAACGAAGTAGGACTGGTGGGGTGGGGAGAGGACACCGTTACTCTACTGCCCCAGAAAAGAAGACGTAGCCCTGTCCCTGGGGCCCACCTTTCTCTGTTCCCCCCCTCTGGGTCTTTGTCCCCCCCCCCTTTGACTCTCTTTCTGGCTTTCTGTCCCTCCCTCTACCGCCCCTAGTCCCCAGTCTCCGAGGCTCTCCTGGACCTCTCTCTCTTTCTGGTATAAAGTACATCTCCCATGTTGTGATTACCTCCTGGTTGTGTGGCACTGGACAAATCACTTCCCCTCTCCGAACCTCAGTTTCCTCATTTAGAAAATGAGGGTAAAAATAGCACTACATTTAATCCAGTGTTTGTGGATTAAATGTGAGATTCAGGGGAAATCCATTAACATCTAAGCATTTAGCACATCACCTGGACATAGTAGGTGCTCAGCTATTGGGAGCTGTGTTGTCCAGATGCTGCCTGTCTCTCCCTCTCCCTCCCCGTTTTCTTCGTCCTGTTTTCCCTCCTCCTCCTCTTCCCCTCCTCCGCCTTCTTGGGCCACTTTTGGCTTTTAGTGTCTCCTCCCAGGGGAAGGTCTGGGTTCCAATCCAACTTTGGAGAAATTGCCCCTCCCGCAGGCTGGGCCCCTCCCTTCCTGCCTGGGTCCCGCCTGTCTCCAGCCAGGCTTTTGACCAGCTTCAGTTCTGCCCCTGGGACAAGGGGCCCAGGGCTAGGGGGCTTTTCTCTACTCAGGCAGGGGCTCCCATGCAGGCAGGTGCTGGCTAGTCCCTTGAGGGGTCTGGGGCCCAGGGGCCTCTGCAGTATCATCTCAGGAGCAGACACCTTTCTAGGGTTTCTCTGAGGCGGGAGGGTTTCCCTTGGGAATGGGGTGGAGGTTTCCTGGGCAGGGGTGGATTTTCAGTAGAGAAGGGGTGATCTAGCAATTGGGGGTCTTAGGGCTGCATCCTGTCTGGTGTGTGTGTGTGTGTGGGGGGGTGCTTGGTGAAGGCTTGTCCTAGAGGGAGGGCGTAGGGACCAAGCCCTGAAGGGATTAAGGGGATGTCTTCAGCGGACCTCAGGAGTGAGGAGTGAGACCTGGGGGAAAGCCTGAAGGTAATTTGGGCGCCTTTGGTAGGTTTGTAATAGACAGAGGTGTATGTCTAGAGTCTTAGAGACCCTGACGTGCATTTATGGGGTCAGAGACACTCCTCGGGAATAGATATTTCTGGGGGTGTCAAGAACCTGGGGGCTTCTATGGAGACTATTTGGGGGCTAGCCATGGTTTCTGAGAGGGGCTCAGGGAGTCAGAGTGGAAAATTCAGGAGAGGTTGGTTTTCCTTTGGGGAGGGTGGAGGTCTGGGTCTGGTGGGATGGGGGAGCCACAGAACTTGGGGTCTTAGAGTCCTCTGGAATGACCAAGGGACAGGACCTTTTAAAACTCTCTTGGGTCTGAGGGTACCTGTCTTAGAACTGGGTGGTCCCAGGTGGGCCTTGGGTGAAGCATGGCATAATTTCTAGAATCTGGGGGAGAGTCCTTGAAGGGGCCAAGCATCCAGTCTGGGGGCATCTCAAGGGCTTTGGGCACAGGCGTTCTCCAGTTAGGCTCAGGGCAGCTCAGAGGGGAAGCTGGGGTCTGGGATTTGGGGGAGATGGGGCTCAGGGTGAGGGGAAGTGGCATCTACAGAGGTGGGGGCACAGGAGAGGGTTTAGGGTCTGAATGGGGTGACTCTTGGATTTAAAATGCTCCCAGGAGATGCTCAGGGTCAGGTCGGCAGGGGAGGGGAGTCTCCTGGGGGAGGGACTGTGAGTCTCTGGACGTGAGTATAGGAGGGAGGTCCCTCATGTAAGAGGGTGGAGGTCCTGGGGGGCTCAGGGTCACATTCTGAGGGGAATTTTTAAGATTAGAGGGCCTCACGGGAGGGTCTCAGTGATGGATGGAGGGGAAATCTGGGTCTCAGGGATTCCCCCCAAGAGCTACGTTCTGGGCCCCGGGGACACCCCCCGGGTGAGGGCCCACTACCTGGATAAACTGGATGGTCAGCGCACTCTTGCCCACGCCGCCGCCGCCCACGACCACCAGCTTGTGTGTCTCGCTGGGTGGGGGGTCCCCGGGTCCCG